AGGAGTAGGAGGAGGAGGAGGAAGAGGAGGAGGAGGAGGAGGGCGGCGCCCGCGGCGGCCAACGCGCGCGCGGAGCACGGAGCACGGCGTGCGGGCGGGCGGGCGAGGACGAGGAGGCGGGCGGGGGAGGCCGACGGCGGCGGGCGGGTGAGCGGGCGGCGCCGGCACGCAGGAGTGGCCCCGGGCAACGGTGGCCTCTGGGGCGCGGCGGTCGGGATGCCGCGGGGGAAGGCCAAACTAGGGGGCCACATGCGAACCCCACCCCTACCCCCCACGACTTCTGAGGGGGAGGGTGGGGTTCAGTTCGTTCGGGAGCTCCCAAGCGAAGTGAACCCCACCCTCCCCCTCAGAAATCGTGGGGGGGTAGGGGTGGGGTTCGCACGCGGCCCCCTACAAGTCCACGCGCGCCAAGCGCGCCGGCCACTGCTGGTGGCACTCCTGCGCGCCCGCACCAGAGGCCACCCTGGCGAAAGGTCATTCTTGGGCGTAGCCTACTCGGGCGGGATGGCAAAGGGTGCCCTGCGCCGCGGCTGACGCGGGCCGCCAGCACGGCACGCCGCGCTGAGAACGAGGGCGCGCACGCGCGACCTCACGCGAGCAGCTCGCGCGCGAACGGCGGTAACGACCCCGTTTTTCTTCTGTCGCTCACTTGCGCGCGCGCGGGCTGGAGCGTAGCGCGGGGGGGGAGGAGATGCGGGGCGCGGGGGGGCCAAAGGAATATCGTGGCTGGGCGCGTGCGGGGGTGGAGTGGGAGAAGGCCCTCGTCGCCGAGGAGGTGCAGGAGGGGAAGGGAGGGAGAGGGCGAGGGGAGGGGGCGGAGGGGGGGGCAGAGGGAGGGGGTGGGGGGAGGGGAGAGGGGGGAAAAAGAGGGGGGGGGGGGCGCAGAAAGACAGGGTGGGGGGGGGGAGGAGCGGAATTCGGTGAGGGGATGGGTGGGAGGAGGGAGGCACAAGGGAGGAGGAGCATGGTGAGTATGGTGAGTTAGTGCACGCACGTGCCGCTACATCGGTGGGGGAGGGGCGGGGGAGGGCGGGGGCGCGCCTGATGAAAGTCGACGGAGTCCGCCGACGCGGGGCGGCGGCGGGGCGGCGGCGGGCGGGGGCGCTCTCCCTCCTCGCCCTCGCACTCACCCTGCCGACCGCTCCAGCCGCCGCGACCGAGGGCGCCGTCCCCGACCCCTTACCCCAAGCCACATCCTCGACTCCTCCGATCCTCCCCACGCCCACGGGTGGGGTACAGGGGGCGCACTCAAACTCAGGGCGACAAGCGAATTCACCCGAATCACCCACGGGTGGGGGTTCCGAGTCAGAAGCCACGGGAAGTGTAGCAAACCTGATATACTCGTCCAAGGGGACGTGCGCTGGCTCAACAACAGCGGGCCGAGGGGCAGCCTGGGCTCTCGCAGTATGAGCTTGGATCTCAACGACCACGAGCGAAGAAGGGGGCCCTCGACACGACGGGTAAAGGGCCTTCGCCAGGCGGCTCAAATTCTCTCTCCCCTTGCGGGTTGGGGGGAGCGCACGGGTTGGCCAGGTTGCGGCCGTCAGCAGCAGC